ATCATAAAATCATCAATAACAATCGGTCCGATGTGATATTTTAGAGTGTTATGGGAATCATTTTATTAAACATTTTTTCATTAATACATAACATCGATTTGCTTAGTAAAAAAACGAGCATTTGTATTACCCGTTTGTTCGATTATTTTGGCGGATCATCAAGTGAGTCGATACTTTTTGTAGGGGTGTGTCGCAATTTTGTCAATTAATTGTTCGTTTTTTTTTTATTGCAAAAAAAAAAGAATTGCTGAGCTATTAAAAAATGAAGTACTTTTTAAGAGAGTATTAGAATATTAATTTCAGAATTTACTTACAGCTAAGGATTCTTGAAAACTTGAAAACTAAAAAGAAGCAACAAAATTTGTCACGTTTTTTCTTCCTTAAAGGATTCATTTTAAAAAAATTTAAATTGGAGTGACCTTCTTGTTTAATTGATTTCATTCAAATTCATATATTTGATACGCATAGTGTGGGTACAGGAGACAAATATTTGATATGGCTTTGGAAAAATAAATTTTTTTTTATTAATAACCAGAAGTTTATTTTTCGTCCTGATATTATTTATTGTAATCGTTACTAAGAAAAGTCAGAAAAGCAACACGGTTACTGTATTTTGATCTTCTCTTTTTTTAATTCGATATGCAACACTTTTATTTGATTACTGGATGGAAAGTTTATAGTTAAATCATTACAATTATTCTCTCTTCCTCGTTTACATAAGACTAAGCTGACCTGATAACCTCAAGATATGATGATGCAACCAAATTTTCGAAAGCGTAATGTTCTGAGGTTTATGGAATTGCATCATTGTCAAGGGACTCACGAGTAGAAGTTTAGGATCTTGCCAAAGCAATATTTTGGTAAAATGTGGAGTAAGTTATCAATCTGGCATGACTTCTGAATTGGCTTATAATCTTGGGAAAACGTCAGTTAAATGGTCTAATTTACTCCTTGTTTTATCAAGTGATACTGAATCAAAACCAAAAATTTCTACCTGTGTGCTTGCTTGTCTGAAGCCTTCCAACATGTCCAAAAGCCTCATCCATGGAAAAATTACATAATAATAGGTGCAATTGCATAGCACTTGTATGTTTGTGGCAGGAAATTTATTAAATCTGGCACCCATGATCAGTCAGGGTTGGTGCTGAACATGAATATTATTTGCACCTGTAGATCCAAAACTACCACTCAACAGCAACACCAACATCACAAACCACCATAATATTTACTCCAGTGACTCTACCATCTCAATCACCAACTCAAATAACAATCGACTGCCTGATCAAATTCATCACCAACTCAATTACCATCATCAAGAACACCAAACCACAATACACTTTGAACATGTCCAATGCTAACCCTGCTCATGATCTCAATACCAGGTTTGTTCATTTCATTTTTTGGGATTTTAAGAAAGGAACCCCTACAACTTATAACTATATGCAATTAGGAAGGAAAAAGGAATGTAATTATTTATTTATTTTGATGACCTGGGTAGACACATACTATTATGTGGCCATTTTCAAATTTAGTCCCTTAAAAAGTCATTTCTTGGTATTATCATTACCTGGGTGATGCAATTTACTATATATTCAAATAATAATTATCATGAATATTGTAACAGACATATCCAATTTACAGAGACAAATGCATTTACATTCAAAGGAAGGATTAATTAAATAAAAACAAAAAGATAAGTAATGCAGTATTGGCATTTGGCCATGGCCAAGATTTGTCCATGAATAATAGAAAGGAAGGACAGTGAGACTATACATGAAGTCGAAATTAAAACCCCAAAGTCAAAATGTTTCGACTTGAGGCAACTACATAGTAAAAATCAGTTTCGACCCTATTTCGACCAGATCTGCAAATGGTCAAAATAGTTTCGACTTTCATGTATAAGTGGGACAGGTGCTTATAGCGCAGTAACCCGTCCCTTTTCAAGATTTGCCCACAAATAATAGAAAAGGACAGTGGGACTTGAACCCGTCCCGTCTATCTACCCATCTATAACTAAATATGAGGTCTATTCCATATTTAATTATGACTAAAAAGAATAGAACACCTAATCTATGAGTTAAAAAAAATTTATATAGGGTGGTGACTCTTGAGTTCTATATTTTTAAAAGTTGTACAGAATATAGTTTAGATATATATAATATAATTCAGCTTTTTTATTAATTATGATGACCAAGAAATAACACACGCATATATATACAGTATATATAACCACGATTTTATCATTACTTTATTTTGTTATTATTCATCAGCATCTTGAAACATTTCTTCATCTTTGTTATCACTATTATCACTATTATTTGGATTTGAAGATGATTGTTGATGTTGATGATTATTTGATTGTTGCGGATGTGTAATAATTGAATCAAGGTATGCTAACGAAGCCTAAAATTTATAATTAGTTAATTAAATCTTTTTATATAAACATTCCTTTCAAAAAAAATCTAATATAATAAAGCACAAAATATATATATATACTCTTCCAAGTTCACTAAGTTCTTGTTCATCACTCGGTAAAGCTGCCATATATTCTGTTTCATTCCAATAATTCTCTCCATCTTCTTCATCTTCCATTTCTTCTTTATCCGGATGTAAAGCTGAACATTCTGATAATGCTTCAAAGATTGCCTCAACTATAAATAATTTTTAAATTATTATTATTATAATAATCAAATAACTTAATATTTCCTAAAAAAAGAAAAATAAGAACGTACGAGCTCCAGTGTCGTCAGGAATAAATCTCATTTCTAAAGTTTGATCGTCTTGATCATCTTCTTCATCTCTCTCTCCCATTTCTCTATCTTCTTCGTTTTCTCCCTCTCCTGCTCTCTTCTCATCTTGTTGTTCTAATTGTAGTTGATGATGATGATGATTACTAGCCATAACGGCACCAAAAGATATTGATTTTTCATTTAATTGTGTATAAATACATGGTCCTATACCGTCATCTACAGCTTGTTGTCTTGATACTGCATGTATTATAATAGTTGGATAATCTATCGCCAATCCATTATTTGTCTCCCATGAATAAAAATATAATTTGCTTTTAAAAAAGATAATAAAAGTTAACTAATTTTACTTTTTTATTTTCTTCTTTTCATGACATTTAGCCACAAAAATGTAAGAGTTGATTTATTTTTTTAAAAAAACAAACCTTTCTGTAACCCATAAAGAACCTTTTCCGATGTTAGGATTATGAATATTTGGTGAAATTATGACATTGACATTATTTTGAACATGATGGGTAATTGGATATAGTATCCCTGGTTCAAGCGTGTGCTGTTGAACTTGTTCACGGCTAATGACTTCAGGTGATGAGTAAATTAATGTTATCGTCATATTTTTCACAAAAAAATTAAAAACGAAAATAAAAAAATTGGGAGATTATCATTTATCACATTGCGTGATAAATATATTATAGCTAAATATATAAATATATAAATATAAAATTTTCTATTCTTCAATTTTTGTAGTTATTAGCTTTCTAATTAATATCAGCATGATTTGGCATTAATGTTGCCATTAGTATCATCGGTCTTATCAGCATTAGTATTATGTAGTTGTTGTTACGACTATAATGAGTTGCAATCAAAGTGGTTGTTGAACGATGATATTGACAATTATTAGTAAAATTTGCCAAATCCATGGCAAGTATAAGGCAATCAATGATAAAAAGATTTACAGCATCCGAATTAGTGAAATAACCTATGCTACCGAGGAATAAATCTTTGTTATTACTATTACTATTATTATTTAACTGATTGAAATTTGTTGTGTAATAATAATAATAATATAGTATTATTGTGATAAAATTAATTTCGGATGGTAAATATTGAAGGTTTATGCAATTTATCAGGTTGGTTTCTTTTGTATTTTTGATTTGTTGAGTCATGAGCCGGCTTTTCCCTTTATTTTTTGATTGTTTAGACTTGAAGGAGAATTGGCCAATTTTTTTATTATTATTTCCAGTAGATAATGGTGACTTAGCATTTTTGTTTTTATTATAGTGTTTGACTTGTTCGATCATCCTTGTCAAGAAGAATCAGGAAATTTTCCAGTTGTAAAAGTGGTTGAATATGACTGACGATTGGTTTGTGATTTTTGGTTTCGCTCACTGACGATAAGACCATTTGATTCTTCAGTAGCCGATTTTACTTGATGAATCGGCATGAAATTCATTGGTTTCTATTACAATGTTAATCACGGTGAATTTAGCGAATTTTCCGTCGGATTTTGTCCTAATATTAATATATTACTATTCCTCTCGCGACGAAATTGTTCGTCTGTATTTATTATTAAACATGATCGACAAAATTTGAACATATAGATGGCAATTAATCCCGAAATAGAGATTGATGTTGCACTAAATTGATTTTGTCGTTTTCGTTCGTTAAAAATTTTTCATATATTATGCGCAACAATAAACAATGGATTATCCAACTCACCATCAAATGCTTGTTCCACAATCAAATTCTAGAGTAGTTCCTATACCACAACGTAGGCCTTCTTCATCTCCCTCACCACAAAGAGATCGTGAAAGTTCACTACCGATTACACCTCAAAGGCGAAGTGCAGGAAATTCTCCAGTTAGTATTAGCACAAGTTATATCAATAAATTTAGTTGTAGCATTCAACGCTTGTATTTTTTTTTTATATTGTTAATTAATTAATCAATATTTTTTTTCTCGTAGATGAGTTCAATAGAAACCATGGTCACTCAACTTCTTGTTACTACCAAAGCTTTATTGGAAAGTTTAACTGGTTGGGCGGCGAAACGTGTTAATCAACAACAGGTTTCTGATATATATGTAGAACTTGTAAGTGAATTTAACACTGTTATGCAATTATTTTCTCAAACTGGAGTTGATATAAGGTGAGTTAATGATAATATATAAGATTGTGTGTATGTATGTATATATATATAGTTCATATTTCTAACAACTAAAATATTTTAATTTATTAAAATAAATGAATTAGCGATTTAACAAATATTCCAACAAATTTAAGAGCATGCTTAGAAAAGGCATTGAGCGAGGAGGCTTCACAAATTTCTTTAGAGAAACATCTTCCTACAATTAAAGAAACAATAGTGTCATTATTAAAAGGATTAAAAGCAAAACAAGCACTATACAAACAAATTCATAATCCTCCACCTAGGTGTGATGTAGAGACAGCAAGAACCTCACCTCCCCCTCCACCAATACCCCCTCTACCAGACAACTATTCAAATGCAAATACTTCATTGCCATCATCAGCAGCAATAACAATTAACCCCGATAATATAAGACACATGCCTATCTCTTCTCCCCCTCCCCCACCTCCACCTCCACCACCACCTCCACCACCACCTTCTCCTTCTTCAAAGCTTCTAGTTCCTAATACAGCTGATCCAATGGCTGCATTAATACATACCGAAAATCTTGAACGCCGTGCATCTAGAAGATTTTCTGCATACACCATGCAAAAAGGGTCAGGTAAAAGAATTACTTCGCGTATGAATAAACAGGAAATTTTAAGACCACCGTCGCCTGAACATAGAGTTGTAGAGATGACAAAAGAAGAAATGCCAACTCCAACAACAATACTAACAGATCAAGCTAATCAGCATATTAATAATTCTAAAGATAATATTGCTACAGTAGTAGATGAAAAAGTAATAAAACAGAAAGAAGTACAAGAATCAAATAATGATGATAGTAATAACAATGATGATGATAATAATGATGATGGTAATGATAATAGAGATGTAAATGTTATTAAAAATATTCCAATTATAAATATTCCAAAATCTTCAGGTAAAAATTATTTAATAATTAAAAAAATAGATTTATTTATTTTTATTTTTCTAATAATTTTTATTTTTTTTGGGGGGTTTTTTTGGTGAAAAAATAATTTTTTAGATGAAGAAAAGAAAAAAGGGATTAAATTATTTCTTCAATTAGGCAATGAAGTTAAAAAATTACAATATGATGGAGATATTAGTATACCAACGTTAAGAATATTATTTATTGAAAAATTTCAATATAATCCGGGAATGGATGATTTTCCTAATATCTATATAAAAGACCCAAATGTTGGAATAATGTACGAATTAGAAGATTTGAATGAAGTGACAAATAATTCAGTGTTGGCTTTAAATGTTGAAGCCTTAGAACAAATTAAGAAACATATTGATCAAAATATTGGAGAGCTTACTAAAGAGATTCGAGAGATAAAGAAATCATTTTCAGAGAATACCAAATTATTACGTCATAATAGTATTATTGCAAATAACACCCCACCCTCACCACGTCCAAGTGAATCACATTTTACACAATTAGCAAAGAAAGTTTTAGAGAATGTGAAGAAACAGAAAGATTCTGATGATAAGAAAGTGACAGAAGAGCACGTGTTAAAAGTTGCGAAAGAAATTAAAGATCAATATGACGAAGTACAAAATCTTCGAAGAGATTTAGGAGTGATGAGACAAGTTTACACTGAGTTTCAAGAAAATTCTAAAAAAACGTTTGAAACATTATTGGTCAGGACAGAAAAATTTAACAAGGTAGCACTAACGAAAAATATTTCATCTGCAAGAACATTTATCGAAGCAGGAAAAGCCAAAGTGGATAGTAAGACAAGAGCCTTGCTTACCAAGGTTGATGATCTTCAAGACCTTATTGATAATCTGAAATTGGATGTAGTTCAACGAAGGAGTAAACCTAAAGATACAATAATTCAACATGTTAAAAATGAATCAGCAAGTGTGCGAGAAGAGCTTGCCTCATTGCAAGAGTATCTTAAATCAGTTAAGCCAATGTGGAAAAAGACATGGGAAGATGAGCTGAATGTGATTGTTGATGAACAGAAATTCCTTAATCATCAAGAGGAACTGATCGAAGATTTAATGGATGATGATAATAAATTGACAGAAGTATTTGAACAAATACTTAAAGTCGTAAATATTCAGATCAAAAACAAAAAAGAATTTTTTGTCAAACCTCAAGAAGAGGGATTTGAAGGATTGAAGACAGTTCTTCAAGAGGTTAAAGGTATAGCACCAGATCATAACAGAAGGTTGAAGGCATTGGAGCAAGCAGAAAAACAAAGAGAAATAGATTTAGCTAATAGTATTGATGAATTTGAAGCCGAACTTACATCATTTGTATCAGAAAATAAATTGAAAAAGACAGGAGGAGCTCAAGAAATAGAAAGATTGCGTCAAAAGAAGAATGAAGAAAATTTAAAAGCATTATTTAGTGCTGAAGCAACAACAATAACATCATCAATATCGCCACCATCATCATCAAAAAATGAAGAAGATAATAATTCATAGTTTATATATAAACATACATATTTGTGACATTATTTTTATTGTTATTTTATCAATGTTAGTTTTTTATTATATTATTATTATATTTACTTTTTAAAATTAATTGAACACACGTTTTTGAAATATATTATTGTATTTACTATTTAAAATTAATTGAATACCAATTTATATTATTTGCTGATTAATTATTTTTTCTCTTCTTACTATCAAGTCAGTCAAGAGCCTAATAAAAAATTTATTACATAACAAAATGACGCGTTTTTTTTTAAGTGAAGAATTTTTAAACAAAAAAAGTCAAATCGAAATAAACATGCCTCTTAACTTTGATCAAACAAAATTGGAAAAAAGCAATATTAAACCCGAAGATGTCTTTACCGAAGAGTGACCAGAGTCTCGGTTTAACGGATAATTTGGGCAAGTAATAGTAATAGGGAAATTTTTCCGTTATATTGAGAAGTTTTTATTTCATCCGTATCCGCTAAACCGAGATTCACGTGTAAAAGATATTGATCAGAATGACTAATGAATACTGATCCTCACAAACTTGTGTACAGTGTTTCCAACAGACTAGGCTTGTGCAATCCCGTAGAATTGTCGATGGCAAGGTCACCATCGTCCTTAAAAATTTAGAATGATGCAATAAGTTTGTGGATTTTACTGAAATTGCATTCGGGTTCCTTTTTTTTATGAAAGGCTTATTGAAGCCTAACCTTTGAAGAAGAATCCTTAGCCCTTGATAATAGTGGTGTTATTAGGAATCTGGAGCGAGTAATTACAGACACCTAGGCTTGACATGTTTGATTTATTTTAAGAACTCTAATGAAAACCTTTATAACCATCGGGTCATTGAACCTGGTAATAGCAATGATAATAGCAATAGCAGTCATAGTCATAGTAGTAATTATTCAAACTACAATTGGGAAGGGAGAAATTCAAATTTGTTCCTTAAAAGTATGATCTTAGTATATATTTATATTGATTAATCCTTTATAAATTTAAGAATACAAAACGTTAAAACTGTCTTTACTGTCTAATCAAACAAATCTGCCAAACAAAAAAGATGTAAATCAAAGATAATTTGTGATTGTCCTTTGCCAGCTACAACAAAACTTTTGGAAAGGAGAGATACTGAAATATTAGCAATCTTATTATTGATCCAATGACAGGTGCAGCTAAAATAGACAAAGATGATCTCGCGCCATATTACTTACAATTGGGTATTCCTTAGTATGTGCTTACCACCATAAGAGAGGATCCGTCTCTTCATATTTTTCCAATGCAATATATGGTCTAACTCTGATACTGCAGGTGTTGAGGGGATTGTAAATGTAAATGTTGAAGATTATCCAACTGACGAGAATGTTCTTATATCGAGCCGTGATCCCAACAAAAAAAAAAAAAGAATATTTAGCAGGAAAACAAAATTTCTAGATAATATTTCTGACGTTTCATCTTACAAATATTAATTCAAGTAAAAATATATATCTAGATATATATAATTAATTAATTTTGATTGAATAAGAAAATATCAACCACAAAATTGACAACAATACTTCAATTCAGTTCGCTTCTTTATACATTTAATAATGAAATACTTATCTATCCCTCATTCATAGTTTATTTGATGGTAAAATCACAAAAGTAAACATATTATAAACTTCTATTATCACATTTTTCATCTTCGCAAATAAATAAATTTTTTTATTATCATCGTTTTCATTAAATAAAAAAAAAGTGGTAATTAGTATGCTTGAAAATTATTAAAAATTTCGGTGTAATAATATTATTGTTATTGTTATCCTGTGAATTATCTGAATTGTGAATTAATTCATTTTTAGCAATTCGATAATATGTAAACAATGTTTGTCTTGGTGGAATCAAGTATTTTTTTGAACTAATATACATAAAAGTTGTATTAGATTTTACATTAAAATTAAATATCATGATAATATATATTTATATAAATTACCTTGTTTCTTTATTTACAGGTGATACTGTCCATAATGGACTAATCGATGAAAATTGATACAAGTGAAATTCTGCTCTTGTTTGCAGGTTTTCAACCTGTTTGAATCATAAAGTTTACTTGATTAAAAAAGTTTTTCAGAAAAATTAAAGACAATTAAATCTATATGTATAACCTATTAGTACCTCAACACATAATATAAATTCATTCGATCCACGAGCACTTGGTCTAGTGAGCGAATTAACCTTTAATGACTGTTGAACTTGTGTATTTCGAAAATAACGGAGACTTCGATAACTCATGACCGAATCATTATTCTATCATGAAATAAACCAGCTTATTAACATAATAGGTTTAATATAAATGTAATTTAGGTGGTGATAAATACCTCAGATTCATAAATAAATAAAAATCTAAACATATATTTTCCAATTTTGTCTCCTCGAACCCAAATAGGTATTAAAGTATTTTTTCCTGGTGCTAACGCAAAAGATGGAAAATCACCATTTGCACCACTTTGAAGTGGTAAAGGTATATCTCTAATTTTTGAATCAAAAAAGGAATTTTTTATTCTTAATCTTTCAATGGATGCTTTCAATTCGTTAACTGCTTGGACTTCACTGTCATTATCTTGTTAATTAATTAATTAAAAACGTATTTGTATCAAATTAATTATGTTTGATTAATATTTCGTATAACACATGTATATAATATTATGAATTAATTTTAAATGCGTATATATATATATACCATATAAAGTTTTTTCCAATATTTCTGGTTCTCCAATACAGAAAAAACTTGGATGACTCATTTTTACTCGCAAGTTTTTAAGCCCTTTTTGACCTTTATTGTTTACCTCCAAAACTACAAGGTTAACTTCTCCAGAAAGTAAATTTTCTGGAAAAGAATGAAAATCAACTTCAAGTAATGGCATTGGAGAAGCTATCATCAGTTCTAATGATTTATCAGGTGTATAAGTTACATTAATTCTGTTTTCCTTGGTGTCATCTAAACGTTTACCGCGTTTATTAAACTTTTTCATTCCATTAACTAAAGAATTAAGGCTATATCTAAGACCAAGAACTTTTAAAGTTCCTCGCTTCTTTGGTAAAACTCGTAAAGATATCTTTTTTTAAAAAAAAAGCGTAAAGAAATAAAGTAAATTCATAAACACGCCCAGGTTAATAAAGAAATCTTGCATCTCCTATAAATGTGACACCATCATTACCGTCTTTTTTTCTAGCGCATCAAGCGAAACTTCAGGAAGAGTTTCTAGGTCAAAGTTATCAAATATCTTCATCTGAGGTTCACCAATATTTGTACTTTTGATAGGCTGTGTCTTATCTTCATTAGTCATTAGTTCATTTATACTTGTTGAATTATTTTCATCATTTGATTGTGAAATATGTTCACATTCAAGCGTAATCTCATTTAAATTAATTGGATTTTGCATAGGATTTTCAATAGTTATATGTACAAAGAAATATTCTAAAAAAATTTTTTTTTATTGTCAAGTAAATTGGTTATTATCATAATCAAATTTTTCAAAAAAAAAAAAAAAATTGATTAAATAAATAATAAAAACAAACCTCCAACTGCACCAACTGTTTGGCAAATATTATTTTTTAATATAGAAGGTTTTTTTCCATACTTATTAAATTCATCTATGCCTACATAAGTTTCCTCCAAATATTCTTTTTCCATTCCTTCCCAAATTTCATCATATTCACTACATTGAGAATTTGAAAGAACTATTTTTACTAAAGAGTCTTTGATAATTGGTATTTTAAGTTCTTGAGGAACAAAATCAGGCTCTCCCCCCATATTTGCAGTATAATACTATATAATATATATATACACACACATTATATATTATATTAGATTAAAAAAAATCATTATTTGGGCTAAAAATGTTAAGCACATACAAATTACCTTATATATAGTTAAGAATTCTTTTAAATATGTATTTTGCTGATTAGGTGATTGACGACTAGTTCTCAATAATTTTAAATAATATTTAAGCGCTTTATCAAATTTACCCAAATGAAAAGATTGTTTGCCTAATGCGAAATGTATATGATCCTCGGCCAACGACCAAAAATGATCTTTAAAAACATTTGATGCTGCTAAATAACATCTATATGCATGTTCACGCTATAACAATAATAATAAATGGTCAATAATTATAGTTATAAATTAATATATATAATATAAATATGTAAAATAATATGAAAACGAATTGTTCTTTTTACCTGATTACACTTTGCATAACGATGACCAGCCATAATTAGGTGAAATGCGTATTTTCTAACCATTGGTGTTTGACATCTAAGGAAAGCATAAGCGGCTTGTTCTAAAAACAATGCACTTCTAAGATCAGAGTCCTAAATATAATTTGAATTAAATATATACATATTCATTTTTCACAGAAATTAAATAAATTCATAATCAAATCTCACGATACTTTACCTCGCCAGCCACTCGTACCAATGCTGATGGTGCATCTTTATATAATCCTCGATATTTCAACAATTCAAAATATAATAATGTTGACTTTGTTGCATAAAAAGGCATTTTCAGAATATTAAGATATGAATTGACAGCTTGTTCAAAATGATGATCAATATCAATTCTAGAACTGATTTTTGTTAAGGCTATTAACAAACAAATACCGATCATCTCCTTTTTAAAAGGAGTTAATAGTTTAGTATTAGTAGTATGATTATTGAATTATTTTTTATATACATATATATCTATTATTTACCTGTGCACCTGCACTATATTTCCATTCTTTATCAGCAGAAAAATCTTTTTTTACTGTGTCATATATAGAATATGCAAATTTATAATCCCTTAACATAAAAGCATAATCTGCAAGTTTACGCATTTGTGCCTCTGGTGAATTGTAATGATATCTTTGTAGTATTAACACATCATCATTATATTAATAATGTTAACTAATTTTTATTTTAAAAAATAATAAAATAGTAATAGTAATAGTAATATAATAATTTTAAAAGGGGATTTTTTTACCTGACTAATGTATCATTTATTGGATTATTACTTTGTATTGCAAATTTTTCAGAATAAAATGATTGAGAAAGTTGTTGTTGTTGTGATTGATTAGCAGATTTTGATCCAGTACCAAAGTAACGTTTACTTGCACTAAACAATCGGCCAGTTATCCCACGTCTAGATGAAGCAACTTGTTCATTTAATGTCTGAATGTTTCTTTCCATATGTGGAATTATACTTGCTTTCACCAATTCTCGTACAAAAGACTGGATACCAATAATATCTTCACCACTTAAATATTGCTGTCCATATGGAATCTGAGGTGGTGGAAAATCGCCAATTTCGGGAAAAGGATCATCAGAAGGTATTGCTTGTAAGATAGGATTTAATTTTATTTGATAACAATGAGTTTTAAATGAACGTCTCATCGTATCAAATTGCATCTGGGAACTATATTTTTTTTTTTAAATTTAAACAGCAATAAATAAATTTTGAACATAATGCATTTTAACATGGCATATTAATAATTGTCAAATAATGCACTTACTGTTCAAAGCTCACTTTATAATTATCATGTAAAAGTACATAACATTTCAACAAATTTGGATCCATGAAACCTTTTTCATATATTGGTGCTGGATTGTCATTGTTAAACAATTCATTAGCAGTTTTTACAGGATCTGGATTTGATGAACTTACAGCAATGATGCCTAATAATTATTAAATAAATCATACAACAATAAACGTAATAAAAGTTATGGATAATTAATATTAAGATGTGATTATTCATTAGAATCAATAGTTAATTATATGTGTGTGTGTGTGTAATATCAAAGGATACATGCTACAGGATGATCGAATGTCTCATGTTCAGATGCTCCCGTGAATGTAAAATATTGTCTACGATATTCTGCATACCAAGGTGTTATATCATCTTGGTTTACTATCAGCCAATTAAAAAAATATTTAGAAAACCATTTAAATATTTGTGAATTAATTAATTAAAATAATTTTTACATTCTAAAAAGTCTTCGGTGACATCAGATTTTGAAGTAATGATTGGTAGTTCTTTATTCAGAGTGTTGTTGTTATCGGTTGCAAACGATTTTATTTTTTCAGCGATTGCCTGCGAGAGAGTATCAACATTAGGTTGTTCCAAACTTAATAGATGTGCAAATCGAATTGTAAAATTTTCTAGCGTATTTGACAATCCTTGAGAATCACGTGCAGTCACTGTTAATTATTAAAAAAAACCAAATTGTTGATATACTTAGTAAAATTGTTCAAATAGAATAAAAAATATTTTTTCCTATCTACATGTACCTAAACAATAATTTCAAAAGCGCATTATATATCACATCCTTTGCTGTATGTGTATGATTTTCCTAATTGGGATTCTATTTTACTGACCTCTTCCCTCAATTCGATCCCCGAAAGGTTTTAACAGTGAGTAAAAATCGGGAATGTTATTAGCTTGACAAACTTGATCGGCATCCTTGGAGGAGATTACAGCTATTTTTGGACTGAGAAAGCGAATAACAAAATCTCTTGGTGAATTACGTTTATTTTGTTGTTGCAGTAACGGCGATGTTAGTATTGGAGTTGAAGATCGAGATGAATCTTGTGTGTTTGACTGAATCGGTGAATCCATCATTTTTTTTTTGAATATTTTATTAATACGACAAATAATTAATTGACGATCCGCCCATGAATCAGTGAAATGTAATCACGTGATAAAAATTTCAATTTTTTCAATTTTTTTCGTAAAAGATTTAATTGAACTCCTTTTTCGCACAAAGTACTCGTGACGTCATTTCGCTTTTTTAAAGTTTCGAATGATATGTTCAGAATCTTCAAATACATGCTAAAAATAATGAACTAGAAGCTTCTTTCCAAATGAATTAAATCATGGATATCTAGATTTAATCAACTTTACAAAAAAAAAAGGAACTGAAACTGCAATTAAAACAATGCTTCTATTTGTAACACGATTTCTTGTTCAATCTTAAACTAATGAATCGAATAAAAATTTTATTCATTTGTTTTATTGTTCATTTGTTTTATTTGAATACTCAAATTAATTACATCAGACTTTGAAACCTTTCAGCTCAGCATAAGTTCATTTTTTGGAAAGCTCGCCAGTAACCATGTTCTGATAAGCCCTATAAAGTTACTGGCTGGTTTACCAAAAGAACGTCTCCATGTTGAACTGAAAGGTTTCAAAGTTGGAGTACTTTTATAAGCTTTGAAACATGGCGATCACTTCAAATTTAGTATTTAGCGTAACTTATGTCACGTAAAATAACTTTTTAATACTAATAAAAAAAGGGACCAATATTTAAATCCGAAATCCGCTGTGTCGAAGTCCGCTGTGACGAGGTTTGACTGTTACTGTATACAAAAAAATTTTTTTTTAAACGCGAAAGAAAAGAACTTTCCAAATTTGGAAAACTAAAGTTTTAAAATGAAACTAAATAAAAGCGTCCGTGAAAAATTAAGTGAACCAGGTAAGCCTTGCTTGGCATATTACCTGCTATGTATACATTTAAAGAACAAGTATTTTATTATATTCATTAAAATTTACAGCATATTGGATTTTGGTTTCGAAAACCATCACTGCTTGCATACTTAAAATATTTGGCACAAACAAAAGATTCACTCCAGAAGGACAACATTTAAAGTCAGTATGTTTCGGAACTCTCCATAATCAAACGAGATTACAATAAAACAGATGACCAATACAAAATAGTTGTAGAAGCTTTGAAAAATTTTGCAGTAAGCCAACTTTTTATGTGTGCGTAGCCAATGGTGTAGACATTCGTCTTGTTGCCCAATAGCTACGGCTCTGCGGGATCACAACACACAAATGTTGTAACGTATTATCAATTAGTATACAGGCTACGGCTTGGTATATGAAAGGCTACGGCTCCGTTGAGAATGCATTGTTACTCTACTAGCTAGTATGCTGGCTACGGCTACGTATATGAAAGGCTACGGCTCCGCTATAGATACACCACTTTGGGTTAGGGGTTAAAGTTAAAGTGAGATTTGGTTAGTATTAGAGTATTAGAATGTTTATATCTTACAATGGTATATTTTTTTTCCACCAAGGATGAAAAAAAATCTGAGGAAGTACAAGATTTCCGGGAAGACAATAATTTGAGCCAAAAAATCAATATAATAGATAAAAAACGAAAATTAGTTGAGGTAACATACCTTTGAATATTCCAGGATTATATATTTGAAACAAATCCCAAGTTTCACATAAATTTTTAGGCCGAAGGCATTGTGAACTTTTTGAAAACGGGAAATGAACGTTTAAACGATATTTCGAGAATGGTTTATAAGTCTCAGCCAATCTTTTGAAAAGAAATGAAACAAAAGAACTAGAAAGAAAAAGTGAAGATGATGAAAATGATTTTGAAGCAACCACATCAGACACCAATTTTGAATCAATGCCTAATTATGAGATTGATATTGACTGTAATGAGATTATGAATATTAGTGATATAGAATTACATACTACATTATCACCCATTCAAAAATATCCTGATGATAAAAGTCCAAGTGATATCTGGATATTACCTTCTGGTAAATCTGTTCAAGATATTATACGTGGACCAAAGGATTTACATAAATCACAGTAAGTTTTGTATTTATTACCTTTATTATTTTTTTATTCCTTTTATAAACTAACATATATTTGTATATGCGTATAGCTCAAGTCATCTAAAACCGACCAATTTTATTCAGCATTTTTGAAGCCCATCACATGGAAACACAGAGCACTTTTGGACTCAAACTCTTCATAGTTTTATATAGTAAATGCCAAAGAATAATTCTATGAAAAGTTTGATGTAAAATATTTATTATTTAAAAAGTTATGGTGGTTTGAATATTAGTAACTTTCTATATTTTAAATAATGTTTACCCTAAATTTTAATAGATTGTCAATTGTAGATCTTTGTAGATCATATGGGGCATACTGCAACAAAACCAGACAAAGTGAACATATGTGTTATCAAGGATTTCAGGGATCAAAATTTAGTCATTTGTAATGTGATAATAATTAACAGTTTTATAATATCCCATTTGATATATAGAAATATCCCTATA